ATCATTTTATCTATGCTATTGTTGGTTAGTTGTATGAGACATGTATATTGTGTTTATTTTGGGGTGTTACAACTTGGTATTAGAGCATACCGGGTTTGAATACTTTGGGTACGTGGGAAGTGGTTAGTACCACAATGGGTTTGTCTCGTTTGATAGAGACTTTAGTATGTATGATGTGTTTACATGATAACATCCTTATGTGGTTATATGGATATGGGATTTAGTTTCTAGGATGTTGATCGAGTCCACGGGTTTCTAGAAGTCCCATTAGAAGAGCACTTGATCACTGCTGTTTCTAATTGGAACTCTGGCAACGCAATGAGATGGTCATTATCCAGAAATAAAATTCATATGTGTTTATGTGACAACGTGCTTATGTGGAATGAATTACTGTTGTCCACCGCATTAGAACGCGAGTGAGTTAGTTTTACCACATTTGTAAATGTGCCAATCTCTTGTGTTACTTTCATTAGGATGTCAAGACGTAGGCGTGGTGGTGGTAGGCGTGGTAGGCCTAGGAGGTATGAGGTGTCTTTACCGAATGATATTCCGGTGCAAGAAGAAGGAGTTGGTTAAGCTAATGTAGTTGAACCAGTCGATCAGCAGGCCATGGGTGCCTTAGCCCGTGAAATAGTCGGAGCATTGCAAGAGTCTATGGACATTCTTAGAGTTGAGAATCAAGTCCAGGCCCAAGTAGCTGAGATAGGGCTGTCATTCCTCAAGCAGGGGTTTTTCCAGTTGAATCCGGATGAGTTTTGGATGGTCCCAAGGAGCCACTAAAGGTAGATGAATGGCTAGGGTAGATAGTGAAGATGTTTGAGATGCTCGGCATTGAGGACAACCAACTTTGAGTGACCTTGGCATCCTTCAAACTGAAGGGAGATACGGGTCAGTGGTGAAAGTATGCATGTGGGCGCATTGGGGCGATCTGGAAGGCTTTTGTCAGCACCTTCCAGGAGAAGTTTTTGCCTCCCATTGTTAGGGAGAAATTGAGAGACCAATTCTCTAAGCTTGTGCAGTTGAACACTCCGGTTGCTAAGTTTGAGGCTACATTTACAAGCTTGTCGAGGTTTGCACTAGAACTCGTAGCGATTGAGGAGCGCCGTTGTTTAGAGTTCGAAAAGAGGTTGAGGTCTGGGCTCATGTTCAAAGTAGCCAGGACAATTATTAGAGACTATGGACGCCTTGTGGAAGTGACGGCTCATCTTGAGACTGTAATGCAAATTGAGGAAGAGCGGATAAGGGGCTTCAGGAGGAGTCAGGATGTTCAGGGAGACAGTGGCCCTGTTTGGTAGGGCTTATTTCCAGCTTATTTAAGCTTTTAGCTTAATTTAAGCTATTTCGATGTGTTTGGTTCAGTTAACAATACAACTTATAGCTTTTTGTAAGTCAAAAATCAACTTATTCTTTGAGTGGTGGAGGAGAAGCTTAATTTAAAAGTTAAAAATCAGGTTATGTTCACAGCTATGAGTTATAAACTGTTAGGCTATAAGTTATAATCACTTTCTCACAGCTCTACCAAATGGGGCCAGTAAGAGGTAGAGGGATTTTAACCCACAGCAGTTCTAAGGAGCTCTGTCGAGGTCCGCTTTTCCAGAACCGAGTTCGGGTTCTGGGGGAGGTGGTCAAGGAGATGTCACTTGTTTCAAGTGTGGTCAGTTAGGCCACAAGTCTCCAGCTTGCCCGCAGAGAGGAGGAGGGCAGCAGTCTGCATCGTCTTCGGCTCGTTCTCAGAGCCAGAGTCAGGGGAGAGGCCATCCGCTCACTTGTTATCAGTGTGGGCAGGCGGGGAACATAAAGAGGTTTTGCACTCAGTTGGGTGGCACGCCTAGTAAGTCTGATTCGAGGCAGACACAAAGCCACTAGCCGGCACAGTCAGCACAGGCCTCGAGGGCTAATCATGAAGCTTCTTCGGCTCAGTCATTGTATCAGGCTTATGCTCCGAGGGGTGAGCAGGTTGAGCATAGACCTACAAGGCGTGTGTATGCTGTTACCGCACCAGATCTTGTACCAGCTCCTTCAGTAATGAAAGGTACTTTCTTGTTTTGCAATTCAGTTACTAATGTGTTAATTGATACGGGTGCATCCCATTCATTTATCTCGTCTGCATTTGCATTGGTTTTGGGGTTAGAGTTGGCTTAGTTAGCATCTCCTCTCTATGTAGAGTCACCTATTGGTGGTGCGATTGTTTTACAACGATATGGAGCGTGCACATATTGTAGGTTAATAGTGTGTAAAAACCTCGCCCACTCTCCAAAGGATCCCAATGAGTAGTGCTACATACACCAATTAGTGTACCAACACTAGTTATGACATTATTATTGACCCTACTTATTATACAAATTATAAATACCAAAAATATTTTAAATTATGTCACGCCCTCAAAATAAACCCATTATATATATATCATTGACATGCATTATTTAAAGAAAACAATTTATTAATTCATTCATCGGAGTATTACTAAATAAAAGCATTACATGTAACATCAAATTAAATGCCCTACGGGCTAACATCTTTCCAAGCCAACACTTGGACACAAAAATATGAGTTCTAACTCAATACAAGTAAAAGCCCTAGGCTTGAATGTTTACATGTACTATCAAATCAAAACAACTAACTGAAGATAGTCTTCAAAATCCAAAAGTCAAATCCTTCCAAGCTAAGTCCTTGGAGGTAGCTTATCACCTGAACCTGAAAATGATGTTCCCATAAAGGGTGAGCCACAGCCCAGTAGAAAAATACTAAACCAAATATAAGCAATGAATAAAGATATGGCATTCAATAGATGGTTAACCAAGATAATCAATTACATCATTATACAGTTTCATGACACTAATGTCAATGACACGTTTCACTTTTCTTTATTATCAATAAGGCTCAGAACCTGGCCAAACTTACAACAGTGAACTATATATGTTATATCCACATTACTTCCAATATCAACAAACAAATGAGACTCAGGCCCATATCAAAACACTTCATACTTCCCGTTTGATACACATTTTAGTGCTGTATCAACAACATGTAAAAACACTTCAATATAATAAGCACACATAATAGTGATGCTAATGGAGTCCATCCCCTATCTCCTCCCAAACAAAAATACATATACAATGTATTAAACACTTGTCATGTACAACACACAATCAATACATGTATTTTCTGTATTAATTCAACAGTCTAAATTTATGACTTAAACAAACTGATTAGTTTCAATTTTCCCTAATCCACATACAATGTCTACAACAAACACGACTATCCTCCACCGATAGCCCAAAACAATTATTTCTAGACTGGAAATAAATATATCAACAATTCAATAGGCGACTGATTTTAATTATCCAACTACACCATTTAATCAATGAATTCCTCAATTTCATGAATTTAACCAAATTCCCCAATTTCCTTAAATTAATTATACAAATTAATAAATTAATTTATTAATGGTTTTTCCAA